TACCATAGACTTGCTCGGATTTCAGCTATTCAGAGAAGACATGAGGTATAACTGCACAGCGTCCGCAGTTTTGAAGTCCCCGTCTAGCTTATTTTAGCTGTGTGTTTGCTTTCAGACAGCTTTATTTTATTCAGACCTGTATTTGTATTATTCTAGAAGCTCGTGCACTTGTGACACCAATTCTGGGATGGTATTTAGACATCGCTATTTTTATGGATTAATCACTACATTTTAAACTTTACTTCCGCATTAGTTTCTTTGTTATTAATTAATTTAAAATTATTTTAAATGGCTAATATTATTCTAATGTTGGCTTTCCTAGCAAGTGAAATGTTAGGCACCATCACGGTCCCGAAGGTGGGAATTTCGGGTCGTGATTGAAATATACCTATTTGACATGCTTAGCCAATTGTGCAAGATATTATTAATGCGTTCTTTTTATCTCTAATATCATAGAAATTTAAGATTTAGAATAAATTAAATAGGCGAGTAGAAGTTGTCGAATTGCTACGAGTATTATTGTCTTTGCAGGTTAATAACCCAGATAAATTAATAAGTTAAGTTAATTGAAAAATTTGACAGGATTGTTACATAACCATAACCCTGGAATATTATTTCTCATTTAATTAAACCTTTCGTGCTAAGTGTGCTAGTTAATTAGTTATTCTCTTAATCGTAATTTTAGTTAGTAGAATTAATCAACAAAAATCACCATGAAATTGTTCATGACTCGATAAATTAGAAATTGCTTGATTTAGTTGATAATTGATCACAAGTCCTCGTGGGAACGATGCTCTACTCACTCTTTATTACTTGATTGACCGCGTATACTTGCGGGTGCGATTTAGGGCAACACTCTCAGCAACGAAAAACTATAACCTAACAATTTTGATGCTACAATGTAATATTTCAAAGAAACACGGTGTGTGGAACAATGAGAGATCAACAACTTTTGCACTATGTATACTTAAGAAATTTCATGGGAGAAAAGCTACAACTTCGTTCCAATTCAGGTTTGAGGTTCCACTTTAGAATTGATAGCAGTAGCTGCCTAAGCAAGATTATAGCTCTGTAGCTGTCTAGTGGGGCATACGCACCAACCTTCTGGGTGTTTTCCTAGGTGCAATGTCACGGGCTAACTTTCTTACGCTCGCCAGCGGCACCGAATTGCCCGTGCAGCGCCTGCAGTTTCCCTCGCTGCAGGCCAGCCTTTATCATTTCCCAGGTTTTCCAAGCACGATTCTGTACCAATGGTGAAACCTTCCTGGAAGGCATGCTCCAATTGTGCTGCCTATAAGATGTCTAGGCTCTTGGCCTCGACATCTCGTGGTGCATCTCGTCTTAGGATCATAATCCATGCGCGCCCTGGGGGTTGGCTAAGGATATGTCTTGTCCTTCGCCTAAGACTGAGCATCGCTCTCGCATGCACAGCCCAATCCTCAAGCTTGACACTTGCCTCGTGCATCCGCACCCAGCTTGTGCCTTGCCTGAGTAAGGAAACCTTTAGTCCTTTGCCATTGTCATGTGCGTCTTTCGTGCCATGCCCATACATAGCCCTCGCGATACACTTCCATCTCGTCTAGTGCAGTGTCGCCCCACAACTGCATGTTTAGGCCAACTGACCCTTGCTCATATGGTTCACGCTGAACTCAAGCCATGCTTACAAGTCGATAGATGATGCCCCTAAGATAGGTACATCAAGTATCCAATCGACAAGGAGGTCTCTGTCCAACATTTCGGCTGCCCGCGGGGCAGACCGTCCCACACGTTGAGCCTCCAGCGCCCGTTTGCTGCCCAATACTAGCCCGAAGGCGTCGCGATGTCCATAGAGTTTCCTAACCTGTATGGACACCTAGGATACTCCCTTGAGTCATCCAGGAAGGCCCTTGAGGTTCCCCCTCAAGGTCGCTCATTAGATACGGCTTGGTGGCAGCACGTTTGGGGGAGGCAGGTTGAGCTTTCAACACCTATACCCCCCCTTATATATGCATTAAATTTAAAAGCCCAAGTTCCCCGAGTAGACAGGTCTACGTCAGAGAATCAGAAGAGCCTTTTCTCACCGATTCTTGGCCAAAGCCACAACCCCAAAGTGCGGGTTGTGACATCCTCCCACATTCATTCTGTCATCATCCCCGATGACACATCATGGCCTACGACATCCCGGAGTCTACCCCCTCAGGTATGTACTTCGCGGATCCCTTTGTCCTGTGGGTTGGACTTCCTCGAATCCCTACTCAAAAGGAGTCGTGCCCCATGCACTTTTCTCCCAAGTATCTTCCAAGCGTGCCTCTGCACTTCACCTCCTTTCGATGTTCACTTGGAAAGTGCCTCCGCACTTGCACCCTCTGGTGTCTAACTTTGTGATTGACCCACACTAGTCAATCACACCATGACCCTCATAGCCTTCATATCCGTCTGAAGCTTTTCCTTCAATGGTAAGCACATCAGCATGCTTTCTGGTGCAACTTCCGTAGCTATATCGTTCCCGTAGCCTTTTTGCACACATCAGCATGCTTTCTGGTGCAACTTCCGTAGCTATATCGTTCCCGTAGCCTTTTTGCACACTGCAGCATAGCTCCCGTAGCCTTTCCCTCCCATAGCTTTTCCTTGCCCTTAGTACCTTTGAAGATGTGTTTGCTTCCAAACTCACAACTTCGCCCTTATGCCTCTTGCATAGGCGCGATCCTCCCACACTCAATGAGGATACTGCTTAGCGCACACGTCCCACTTGGCATTCGGCCATCTCTTGGGATGTTTCTTGGTGAGTACTACACTCTCAAAGTCAGAGTATCGCCGCATTCTCGAACAAATCTCTTTGCTTTTCTAACTGTCACTTCCTCAGCAAGTACCCAATGCCCCCGGTAGTACGTCAATACTCGCCCTATGTTCAGGTACTCACTTGGTCCTACTAGCATGGCTTCCCGGTCCGGTTGTGAATCGCACTTGGACTCTCAATGGTCCCCGATCATTCGACATACCCCTTTCCAGAATGATGACATCTTCCAACTTGGAAATCCGCCCAATTCTAAAGCTTCGCTATTTCCTCGAATTCGTCTCCTCACCTTAGCAATTCCCTTAGGTAGTCCAAAAGTCTATCTCGTAGGAAAACACTCAACTGATGCGTCGTACGCATCCTTGGGAAGATCTTCGCTATGATCATGCCCAATGTTTATAGTCCATGGCTCCCACTCTTTTCAATATGGTTGCTCGACCTGGCAAACATGGCCTTCTCTTGACCATCCGACTCATCGGCATATCACCTCATTCAATAGGAACCTAAACTTTCGAAAGAAAGTGGACTCACCCATTTCTTTCTTCGACCGGCAGTATCGGGTTCTTGATCTCTAGTGGCATATGAACATCAATCTCTAATTTGACATGATCTCCGCACTGACATCCAAAATGCACTCGCCATTTCCACTCTTTTCCTTGACATTATTCCATGGCATAGTATGGCCTTAATCAGCTCTGATACCATGTGTCACAGGCTCACTTTCTTACGCTCACCAGCGACACCGAATTGCCCGTGTGGCGCCTGCAGTTCCCCTCGCTGCAGGCCAGCCTTCATCCTTTCCCAGGTTTTCCAAGCACGATCTTGTGCCTATGGTGAAGCCTGCCTGGAAGGCATGCTCCAATTGTGTCGCCCGTAAGATGTCTAGGCTCTTGGCCTCGACATATCGTGGTGCATCTCGTCTTAGGATCATAATCCATGCGCGCCCTGGGGGTTGGCTAAGGACATGTCTTGTCCTTCGCCTAAGATTGAGCATCGCTCTCGCGTGCACAGACCGTCCCACACGTTGAACCTCCGGCGCCAGTTTGGTGCCCAACGCTAGCCCAAAGGCGTCGCGCCATCCATAGAGTTCCCTAATTTGTATGGATATATAGGACACTCCTTTGAGTCGTCCAGGCAGGCCCTTGAGGTTCCCCCTCAAGGTCTCTTATTAGATACAGCTTAGTGGCAACACGTATGGGGGAGGCAGGTTGAACTTTCAATACCTATACCCCCTTTATATATGCTTAAAATTAAAAATCCTAAGTTCCCTGAGTAGACAGGTCTACGTCAAAGAATCAGAAGAGCCTTTTTCTCGCCGGTTCTTGGCCGAAGCCACAACCCCAAAGTACAGGTTATGACAGTAAGCCCCATTGTTCTGAGAAATTTTTCAAATTTGAGCCAAAATTGCTTAATAAATCTTTTTCTAAAGATTTAAATATTCAAAAAATAATTCATATTAAATTCGCAAACTAAAAAATTCAAAAGTCAACATTTTTTAATTATTTATTTTAATTTCACATTCTTTTCTCTTTGTCATTTACTGAGAAACAAATACACTTTAGACCTTTGTCTGCAAAATGCAAAGTACAAAAATGTTTGGCCTCTAGTTCTTACTTTCCTTCCACGTTTGCATTTTCCTTCTTTATGCTTAATTTATTTAAAGTTTTTTTTTTGTATTCTTTAATTTATTCTTTTCAAGTTACTTTTTGATTTTAGATTTTTTTTAGTATCTCTCTAGATTAGATATTATTTTTAAGAATATATTCTGGCTATTTGTAATATAATAAGTATTTGTTATTTGTTATGTAGTTTTAGGTTTTTGAACAAAAGCATTATATTATTTTAATTTTAATTTTTTGAATTATTTGAAACTGAGATATAATTTTCATAACTCTACTTATATTCCGATCATAGTCATGTTTTTTATTACGCATACATAGTAGATATCACCAAAATACCACATAATACCCCAACCCAAAAAAAATGATTAACCAGAACAGCCCCTACACTAAACTCCTGCTATGCGTAGGATACGGCCGGAAAAGAGAGAACCATGACCATGTTGGTCTATTGTAGATTGCCTTACTTTGCATTTCTGCAAAACGTTATCTATGGGTTGTACCTGTGACATCCTAGTCACACGGCGACAATATTAATGGTTGTGCCAAGGTTAACCTTTAAAAATAAATAACACGAACGATTATTAAAAAACAACTAGTAGTAGCTTTTATTCAGCCTTCCACTTTCCATTTTCGTAACCATAACCACGCTCAGTACCGTAGTTCTTCAGCTTCAAGAGCAGATCTTCCAATCCCTCCTTCAACATTGAAGCCTCAGTGTAGTTCATCTTCTCTATAGGACCCTTGAACCACTCTTGTTGGCTCTCCACATTCTTATTCATTTGCTTGAGTTTGCTTTTTAATTTTAATGCAAAATCTAGTTGGTCTTGCAGAGAACTGAGTCGTGTGTTAAGTTCTCTAGAATTGGCTTTTCGAAACATCTAGACATACTTGTCATCAATGCCTGATGGTGATGAAGGCCTTTCTTCGCCAACATATTTGTTGATGGTTTCATTTACATTTGGATGACCAAAAGAGTAAGGCTTGCTACCTATAGAGCAAAAAGAGAGAAATCGGTAATATAAAATAGGGCAAGAGGAGAGAAATCAGTTTATCTACTGTTATAACGCCTCCCACACCAAGTATTCTTTATATGATGCTTTAATGTTATGTGAAATTAATTATCATGTTCAAGATCTTGGATTTGCATGTTTAGTTATGATGATGCATGTACATTTATGCTTAAAAAGTAACATTTATTGATGGTATATCATGTATATATAGATGACCAAAAAAATGTAATTAGGCTTGTAATTACCTTGTGGACACACGATGATGCCAACTTCAGCACCAGTCATAACAACAAGCTCGTTTGCTTTCTTGAAGACACCATTTCGGCATTTTGAGAAAGTCACTTGTCGATTATTCTGATTTTCTATCTTTGCGAGACGAACACTTTTGCGAACCTTAATCCGTCTAGTACTCATTCTCAAGGATAATGATGATATAACTAGTATTAATTACTAAGAGTTACTATGTGATATGAACTTTGTAATACAAAAGCCTAGTATTTATAGAGTTTTTCCAACATATTGAAGCCTTTGGTTTTTCAATTTTGGTAGTTCATAGATATGAATCCAGTTCATTTTTGTAGTGTTCACATGTTATGAGTTAAGTAAATTTAGATAATTAATCATAGTGGTGACTGTACTCTCCATTTTTCAAAGTATTTTCAAAATTTACCTCTATAATATTGTAATGGTCAAGTCAATTTCCAGGCGCATGCCTCAACCAGTGGTGATTTGCTATTATAAGATTATTACTATTTGATACTCTCTTAATAATATCTCTTAATTTGAAAATGGATGAATATGTATCCTAGTTTAGTATTTTTATTTATATTATCTTTTTAATTTCGAATTCTTTGGTAATTTTCGAGCTGTCGCTGAAAATTATGATATGTTTTTATTTATATTCTCTTTTTAGTTATTTTCAGTTTTTGGTAATATTCGATTTGTCGCAGAAGATTAGGACGTGTTTCAATATTCCTAGTTCAGTTTACTATTGCTTTTATTTATATTCTCTTTTTTTTGGTTATTTTCCTATTTTTGGTAATATTCGAGTTGTCGCGNTACTTAACCATATAAATGGATGTAATTTGGTACAAGCACCAATATATGGATATATAATCAATTTTTTTCCTCTTACAAATAGCATAATTAGAAATATAGTTTCTGGGGAGCAAGTACTATAAATTTATTTTCTTTATAATAGAGAAATCCCCATAAAACCAATGACGACGTTCAGATCTTGGTGGGTAAATTTCTTTTCTTCCTTTTCCCATTCTACTAAATGTACCCTTAAAGAAACGGTATATTCATACAATCCAAAAATTGGAATTGTCGATCATATGCGTGCAAGGCAACTCGAATACCACTATTATCAAATAAAATTAAGATGATTCAAAATGTAAATAGAACTCAAACTTTTGTTGTTTAAACCCGCGGATAGTATAGAAATAACCAATATATTTTCATATGTTTTGTTTATACCAAAAGCAAGTGTTTGTTGTGGGTGACTGCAATTAAAAAATGTCACGATCCGAAATTTCCTACCTTTCGGGACCGTGAAGGCGCCTAACATTTCACTTGCTAGGCAAGCCAACGTTAGAGGATTATTAAGCCAATCCTTATTCAATTCAATAAATAACAGCAAATAAGGTAAAACGAATTAAAGCGAGTGCGGAATAATATAACAGCCTCAATATTTACTACAACCCGGATCTGGAGTCACAACTCACGAACTTCTAGGATTTACTACAAGTAAAAGTCTGAAAGAAATACAACTGTTTGAATGAAAGAAACAATAAAAAAAACAGAAAAGATAGACGGGGACTTCAAGGTTTGTGAACGCCAACAGATCTACTTTGAGTCTCCAATGAACCAGTCCGAGCTGCTACGCCTCTCGATCAGCTGGGACCAATACCAAAATCTATACAAGAGGTGCAGAGTGCAGTATCGGTACAACCGACCCTATGTACTGGTAAGTGTCGAGCCTAATCTCGACGAAGTAATGTGAGGCTATGACAAGACACCTACATAACAAACTTATGCAATTTAACAGTATATATATGAATAACAACAAGAAAAAACTTGACAGGTAATATCGGGAGGGGGAACATGCTAAGGGGAATACAAGATAGAGAAATACAATAGAATGGTAACTTAAGCAAGCAATATACTATGAACCAATAAGAACAAGTAAACACAGTAAAGGAAAAATACACGGAATCATCCTTCGTGCTTTTACTCTCAACCTCACCATAAAATCAATAGAAACGGCACGGAGTCAGCCTTCGTGCATTAACTCTCATAACATGGCACGACATCACCCTTCATTCATTAACACTCACAATATGGCACGTCATCACCCTTCGTGCATTAACACTCTCCCTTACCATAATGCAATGAATAAATAACAACAGGGAGATAGAATAACAAGTGCAAGCCTTACTTCAACATTTGATTCTATAATATCAACCTCAACTTCGGAATCAATACTCAATTATCACCAAATAATCCGTAAACATGGTATGAATGATCAATTTAACAATACTAGTCTAAACACAGATAACATGAACAAAGGAAGCTATAATTGCAAGAAACCAAGCCACACCCGCATGCTTTAACCCGACTACAATGCATAAGTACTCGTCCCCTCACAAATATATTGTTCCCCAACATTTAAACATGTAAAAAATAGACAAACAAGTCCTATTCCCTCAAGTCAAGGTTAACCACGATACTTACCGAGCTCTGAAGACCAAACTCAAATCTCAACCACGGCTTTTCCTTTGAAAAAAGACTCCGAACCAATATAATCTATCAATTTACCAACCAAACGATTCAAATTAAGCCTTATGAACTACCTACGATTGTGAAGAATTTAATTTAGGCCATTATGGAAAAAGTTAACAAAAGTCAACACCCTGGCCCACTTGGTCAAAACCCGTGGTTCGGACCAAAATCCATTTGCCCATTCACCCCCGAGCCCGATTATGTAACTAGTTTCGGAATCTGACCCCAAATTGAAGTCTAAATCCCCAATTTGCAAAACCCCTCCAATTCTTCCTAAATCCCTAGTTTTCTACCATGAAAGAACAAAGAAAAGGGTTAGGAATTAATGGGTGGTGTTAGAAATGAAAGAAAATGAGTTAAAGAGTACAAACCTATGAATTTATGTTGAGTTTTCTCTTCAAAATCGCTCCTAGGCCGAGTTCTAATGGAAGGGTTATGAATATTTGGGAAAATCCCACTACTGTTCTGTTTTAAGTCACAGGCGTCAGGCCTTCTTCGCGTTTGCGAAAGGCCTGCCGCGTTAGCGATGAGCAGCAGCCCGAGTGGCTTTCGCGTTCGCGAGTCCTCCTTCGCATTCGCGAAGGCTGATCCACCCTAGCCTTTGCGTTTGTGAGCCAATGCTCGCGTTCGCATAGAAGAATGACTGACCCCTCCCCGAGGTCCCTAAAGCTTTGCATTCGCGAGAAGCTGGTCGCATTCGTGAAGGGTAAGGCCCCCATTGCTTTGCGTTCGTGACCCAGCTACCGCGTTTGCGATTAAGAAAGTCACCCTCTCCCAGTTTACTCGTCGCGTTCGCGAGAGTACCTTCGCGAACGCGAAGAAGACACCAGATAACAGCTGAAGCACAAAAAACCAGATTTTCTAAGTTTCAAAACACCTTTAGCCTATTTGAAACTCACCCGAGCCCTCGGTGCTCCAAACCAATTATGCACACAAGTCCAAAAACCTTATACGAACTCGTTCGTGCAAACAAAACACCAAAATAACGCCTAGAACTACGAATCAGACACCAAATGAAATAAAATTTTCAAGAAAACTTTAAAACTTCTATTTTAACAACTGAACATCCGAATCACGTTAAACCAACTCCGTTTCTCACCAAATTTGATAGACAAGTCATAAATATAATAGTGGACCTGTACCGGGCTCCGAAACTAAAATACGGACCCAGTATCAACAAGACCAAATATCAGTAGATTCTTAAAATTCATAAAACTTTCAAACATTCAATTTTTAACAAAAATCAATAACTCGAGCTAGGGACCTCCGAATTCGATTCGGGGCATATGCCCAGGTCCCAAATTATAATACGGACCCACCATGATCGTCAAAACACCGATCCGGGTCCGTTTTCTCAAAATGTTGACCGAAGTCAACTCAAATGAGTTTTTAAGGCAAAATTCTTATTTTTATAAGTTTTTAACATATAAGCCTTCCTGAAGAACACCCGAACTGCGCACGCAAATTGAGGAAGGCTAAAATGAGGTATTTGAGGCCTCGAAATAGAGAATTAGGTTCAGAAACCTAAGATGACCTATCGGCTCATCACATTCTCCATCTCTAAAACATCAGTTCGTCCTCGAACAGATATAGAAAAGTACATGGGCTGGTGAAAAGGTGTGAATATCTACTCCACATGTCTGACTCGGACTCCTAAGTAGCTTCCTCGACAGGATGACCTCTCTACTGCACTCGAACTGAAGGATAACTCTTAGACCTCAGCTGTCGAACCTGTCGGGCTAGAATAGCCACTAGCTCCTTCTCGTAAGTCAAATCCCTGTCCAACTGGACAGAGCTGAAAACCAATACGTGAGATGGATCGTCTTGATACTTCCGAAGCATGCACACGTGGAACACCGGATGAACTTCTAATAACCCCGGTGGGAACGCAAGCCTGTAAGCCACCACTCCCACTCTCTCCAGAATCGCAAAAGGTCTGATATACCTAGGGCTTAACTTGCCCTTCTTTCTGAACCTCATTACACCCTTCATGGGTGATACCTGAAGCAACACTTTCTCCCTGACCATGAATGCAACATCACGAACTCTGTGGTCGGCATAACTCTTCTACCTGGACTGCGAAGTCGATCCTGAATAATCTTGACCTTATCCAAGGCATCCTGTACTAGGTCTGTACCGAACAACCGAGCCTTCCCCGGCTCAAACTACCCAACTGGCGACTGGCACCGCCTACCGCATAATGCCTCATAGGGAGCCATCTAAATGCTCGACCTGAAGCTGTTGTTGTAGGAGAACTCTGTAAGGGGCAAGAACTGATCCCACAATCCTCCGAAGTTTATAACACATGTGCGGAGCATATTCTCTAATATCTGAATAGTGTGCTCGGATTGTCCGTCCGTCTAAGGATGAAACACTGTGCTCAACTCAACCCGCGTGCCCAACTCACATTGTACTGCCCTCCAGAAATGCAAGGTGAACTGTGTACCTCAGTCAGAAAGGATAGACACGGGCACACTATGAAGACGGACGATCTTGTAGATATAAATCTCTACCAACCGCTCCGAAGAATAGGTAACTACCATAGGAATGAAATGCGCTGACTTAGTCATCCTGTCCATAATGACCCAAACGACATCGAACTTCCTCTGAGTCCGTGGGAGTCCAACAAT